ATTACCCTAACCCAAAATGCAATGGAAATTCTAAATTTAGAATCACTTGATTTTATTCAGCTTTTGATTTTAAAACTTCTCCGTGGTGCAGGGGTAACGCGCTCGTTTGGTGTGTGAGAGGTCTGGAGTTCAAGTCCCAGGCGAGTCAACGTTTTTTTAATTTTTTTTTAGTGTCTTTGTTAAGGAAATAGCCACGATATGCAAGGATAAAGTGTGGCTATCATAAAAAATTAACATAATTTTTTTTTTTTTTTTGATGCAACTCTAGTTATGCAAAATTCCGTATGTATCAAACTCTGGTGCCCTGCAAGATGACTTATAGTACATAAAAATAAACTTATACAGGAAAACACATACAGATATACAGTACGATTTAGATTGCAGGGATCAGAAAATACCACAGAGCTTGCAGCCCTTTGATTTACACATGTCATGGAGGGCATGTTTTTCAAGGTCAGATAAACTACTGTCCTAAGATTTATGTTTTTTAAAGTATTTTGTATTTTCTGCAAAACATAGCATTTGTTTGTACTTAAATATACTTTAAACTCGATTTTGCCATTCATGAAATGTGCATAAAACTTTGCAACAGAATGTTTTTGGTCTTCAGAAATGTAGCCCATTCAAGGTAAATTTCTTATTGTTATCATTTTAATTTTTGTTTAGAATTGAAAGTGTACTTGCAAATGGCTCATCATATAACAGTGTGAGCTTTGTTGTTATATGAATTTTGGCCTACATTCACTTTGGACAGACTTTGTGAAAACAAACTTTGCTGAGAATGTGGAAATACCATAACGAAGGTCCAACCGCTCGCAAAGGTACAAAATGCAGCTCCCGCTGTCGAGCATGGACCCCTGATTATATCACCAGTCATACCACTTTCAAAAATTAATATGCTGTTCCAATGGCGGGAATGAAATGTAACCTTATATACTAACGTTTAATTATTTCAAAACAACCAATATATCAACATGTTATTATTAAACATTTAATTTCATAAATATAAATTAAAAATAATTATCATAAGCAAAATTGTTTAAATCTTTTGTCTGAAATCTTCTTTATATTGACAAAATCAATCACTTATAGTATATTTGATTTGCTTTGTATAAATGTATTTCATATGTAACAAATTATAATTTCATGTTCTACTAAAAAAGGGAAATAACAAATTTATAACCGAAGTAACATTTATAGCTATTTATAGCTTTCGAATTTATGTAACAGCAGAACTGCTTTCCGGTTCTCAGTCCTTAATATGACATGCTGCGAATCACCGACGGGGAAACCAATATAGAAATCGAAAGGAGTTCTTGAATGCGGATTTACTTTTAGCTGTTAATCGAAAGGATTTATTGCTCAAATCCGGGCCCATGGACAAAAAAAAGTAAACACAAATAGCTCCGCGCCTGTGGGCGCGGAGCAATGAATAAGACTGCAATCAGATACATTGATTAATAACATTCAGAAGTAATGCCATCAAGATACATATACTTTTATATATACAAGTGTATATTGCTATTATAATAATCTTATAAAAAAAACGTAAACTAAAGTATGTTTTTTATAAATGAAAACGATAATGTTGTATTTCCTTTAATAGCAACTATCAAACTCACCGTAAAACATACAATATATTGATATATATCAAGAATCAAATTTGAAGGCGATGTTTGAATGTCCACATCATAAGCAACCAAATTGAACTTTATAATGTAGTAAAAAATAGGTCCGTTTAAACATCAAATCAACTTGAATTTTAAACCATCTTGAGCTGCTCTGTCTTCATCAACTAGTTCACAATACAAATAAAATCGAAAGCGTATATACAAAAACGTAGAAGGTGAGGATTACAGCTAAGGTTTATTGAGTGTTAAACGTAGTGTTAAATTATTACTTTTGTTATGAAAATGAATAAAAGATCATATAGACTTATATTCTAAAACAATTGATTCAATTTAAATTTTGAAAATGCTAATAATCAGGTATATATCTTCTTGTATTTAATTTTACACTGCACTTGTTCGCAATATTACAAGCAAATTCGTAAAAAGGAAGATCTGTGATATTTGTCAAGTTTGTTTTGTTAAGTGCATTCTTTTAATTACTTCCTTGTCTTTATACAAACTAATGAATATAAATATCTTAGCAGGTTATCTTTCATACTATGTTTGATAATCAGTTGAATATTTGTGAACCTTTGTATACGATATCAGCATCTAAGGTGCCATCGATTAATCAATTTTAAACCTTGAAAATAAAAAAAGTTACAAATCAAACCTACTTGTGGTTGTTTGTTTGAAGTCACACTGACGCAAACAAACAAGCGACTCTTTAGTAAGTACTTTATGCGACTCTGTGTACCTTATCCAATTACAAGGGTACTTGAGCAGACCCATCAACCATCAATTTTTTTCAGTTAATCAGTATGAGTATACCCACACTCTTAGAATGAAGATTGTAGAAACAGTTGAATAATGCGATACGGTGAGAATATATTCAGAATAAAAAATAATATAAAGTTTTTTTGTGCGAAATTTTGCCCAAGTTGAGTGAAAAGCATTACAACGCTTTTTTATCTTTTTAACGTTTGTTTATTTTGGGTTCATTTTGAATATAATAAATTATCAATCTGGAAAACCTTAAGATCATTACCTAAAAGTTTGCACAAAAGTTATTGTAACAGGCCTACCTCCAATAGACTCAGTGGTGTTTCTATAATGTATCGTATTATTGCATTCTTTAAGTTTATAATGAAATAAATTAGCATTGTCATGCGGTGAAATACAGAAATTGCATTGCTGAATTATAGGCTTTAACACCTGATAATGAATAATAAATCTGCCAAGATACTTCTGTAGACTTGTATTAATTTGTTCTAGTCTTAACAAGATTAATGTTTGTAAGTGAAGTATTTGATTTTATCATTGATACAGATGGATTATTTCAAATAATCACGTATTTTATGGCATATTTATGTAACAAGGATCTATTCTATCAATGGAGGTGCGAAGATTTATGATCTATGTCTTAAGTTAATAAATAACTCTTATCCTTTTGTAATTATTTGTTCACAATTTACTCAACACCCATGTGGTACTTGTTGCCATATAACTGTGTATGATGAATAAGTGATGTTTACATCTACTATCTATTTGGCACGTTGGATATTTAAACAAGATTTTATAACTACTTTAAATTTAGGATCAATGTTACTTTATATTTCTATACGAAACATTTTGTACTTCACATCTTTGTAACAAATACAAAAATTCAATTCAAAACATTTAGATTAAAGTCTTGTTTGTTTGTTTCATTTTACGCCTTTTCCCAACAGTATTTCAATCATATAGGCGGGTAGTTTCCTAACAATCGTTCCTGGAGAGTTACACCAGTACTAGACTACCTTCCTCCGCGCTAAATTACCAAAGCATCTCACGGGGATCGAACCCACGCCAGAGAGGTAACTGGATAAGAAGTGATCGACTATAACCCCTCGACCACGGAGGCGGTCTAGATTAAAGTCGATGACGTAGCATAGTTTTTGATGTTATAGATCATGCACTATCTTAAACAGTAAATGCATATTTTCGCTCATTGTGCAATAAAAGTCGTTTTCCTTTCAACATGCTTTTGTCTAAACAATCTATTTCGTTCATATGTTTCAGTTAATCATCAAATTGCTGGGTACACTTAAAGGTAAAATTAAGAGCAGTCTTTTAAGGTGATTCATACCTCCACATGTTACCTTGATACTAAATCAGGGTAATATAAGTATTTGGAATGCCCACCTACTACGCCAACGTATTTTCAAATAGAATTGTTAATATCCCAAAATGCCGCATTGTCACAGAAATATGGAAACGACAAGAAAACAAAGTCACGTGGAATGATTTTAATACATTAAATTAGATTAGAGAAGAAAACCGTTTGTGCCAGAATCTATCTTGTTTTAAAATTGAAACAAACAAAACACGGACAGGTGCAATGTCCGTCGTTTTCACTTTTTCTAATAGCAAACAAATAAACGGTTTAAACAAATCTTTAAAAAAAAATTAAAGAAGTACAGAAATGTTTCTTTTCCTTGTTGAATTTAATAGGTCTGCCTTTTCATAAATATATAACAAAGTTATAATATAATCAAATTTAATCATCTGACGGTCAAGGTCATTTAAAGTTCAAGGACATATCCAAATTATCCACATGTCTGTTGGGTCACCAATGTTGTCTTGTCCACGTATTAATCAAATCCGTACATAAATAACAAAATTATGATAAATTTGGGTCTTGACTTAAAAGATGTGCCTAACGATAAAATTAACCCAATTATGAAAAACAAAGTTATAACTTATTACAGAAACAAAACAAGAAAATTTCATTAATTGCACATTGACAACCGATGTCAATTTAAGTTCAATGTCACATCTACATTGTTCAATATGTTTGTTTGGTAGCAAGTCTTGTTTTGTCCAAGCATAAATCAAATCCGTACTACAAAATTATGACAATTTTACCAAAGTTCAACATTGGACCTTCACGGGCAATGTTTTGAAAGGTCAAGGTCAGTTCAACATTTTAGAGGTCTTGTCCAAAAAATTGAGTTCAATCTACATGGATGTCTTAAGCTAAAGAATGTTTTGTTGTAACATGAAGTCAATCCATTCATTAATAACAATGTGATTAGATAGTCAGTTATACAAATAAAAATAAAAAGTTGATAATGTAGAAAGGCGAACACCGAGACGAGGCAGATTTAATGTTAATGTAGATGTTCAGTCTAGTCGAAATTATCCTTGAAAATTTAAGTATTCTAATTGGTGGATTGCTTTCGTTCAAGTCAGTCACATAAACCCTGATATTAAATCATTTAAGAAACATGTATTACACTTCAGTTTGGGTTAAATAAATAACACTTTCAAATGCAGGTGGTTGCAAAAATATAACAGTTAAAACCTGTTCATCATTTTATGAGTATTTACAACATTGGTCATGTGACGAATTTGCACATCCCCAGATGACACAGAGCATAAATATGGACAGCCGCGCTCCGTCGTCATATCAATCTTGAAGTGGCGGGGATATAATCATGGTAAGTAATATTCATTACCTTTTTGTGTCTTATAATCCTAAAGTACATTTACATTATGGTTATTAATTTTTTTTAAATTTCATTCAGAGCTAGAATTTTATTTTCTGTATATAACTTGTGCAATTTTTTTTTTTTTTTTTTTCTTTATGGAAATGATTTATTTTTATTAAAATTCTATTTTCATACACATTTTAAAAATACATGAGAGTGTATTTTTTCGAGCACCTTTGCATTTTAATATGATATTACATTTGTATATAAAGATAGTATACACAGTTTAATCACAGAACGAACGTTTTGCGTAGAACTTACTCACATTTACCAAAATCACAGATGAAATACATTTTTGTGTCAGCAAAAAGAATGCAAACCTCGTTTGTTTAAACATGTAAAGATGGTTAATTTTTTATTGCGTAAAATATATAGAAAAAAGCAAATGTCACAGCAAAAGTGATTTACCTAAAAGAAAAGACTTAGTATAATTATGTCTTTAATTCGGATTGTCTTTAATTCGAAATATCTCTAATTTTATACAATTCATTGTTCAATCGATCACTACTTGATATGGTACGTATGCCATGTTAGGGAAAGTCGGATCAATTCACATTTTAAATAACCTTAAATATACATTTTGTGAGAACAAGGGTTTTGATAAATAAAGATAATGGAAAATAGGTCATTTTAGGTAAATAATATGTCCATTACAATGTGGAATGGGACATTATAAATGATAAAATAATGTTTTTGAATGTTAAAGTTACATTTAATAAATTTAACAAAAACAGAAATAGCCACCATTCATAAATTGGGTTTCATATCGACACCATATCTTATTTTGGTGTCCAGACAAACAAAAAGAGTTTTATAAGCATAAAAATGGGCCACATCATTTTGGCGAAATAGGAAGTACAATTTCTATTTGCATGAGAAACTCCGCCTTCGCATCATCAATACATCAATATTAAATCAACAAACATGACTATAAGTAGCAGTCCTAATTTAACGGTATATTTCCGCATTGTAACGGATGTTTTCATACAAATTTAATATTTTCAATGAGACGATTTCTTTTTTCTGAACCCCAGGCTTATTGCACCGTGAAGCTAAAATGGTTAAAGTGTGTTTGCACAAGAAAATATGATATTTGTTGTTCCGGATAGCAACTTTAAAACTGTGACGTAGCGCCTACACGAGCAGATTATAGTCTTCATTTGCATATTAAAATTCGTATACGAACTTTAGTGTTACCGTGGGGTTTTCTGTTTAAAATCCTAATTTGATTAGATTTACAAAAATACTGTTAAAAAGGTTAATAAAAGTGCAGAATGCTTGGTTTTTAGGCCGACGGCAAAATATTTTTACATATTTATTTAATGTAGCTTTAAATGTTAAGTGCAATAGTTTTTCCATTAGTGAAATATATTGCGATATCTAATAATGCCATACAATCATGTACGTCATTTTATTATTTCAGTTTTAAAGGGACATTATGCATCAGAAATAATAATAATAATGTTTCCTTTTTTCAAAAGACAACTATCAGATTTATCTCGTGTTAACGCAAGTTTTACACCAGGTAACCAAAATTAAAAAGCTTTTTAAAATGATGTTTATTGCATAATAAGATTTAAAGATATATTGGTCGTTTTTTCCTATCAATGTTTTAAAATAAAAATGTTTTGACATGTTATCAATTTAAGGGGCGGAAAATAAGAAACATGTTCTTCGCTGTGTTAGCAATGTTCTTAATATCGTCTGCTGCAGGTAAGTTAAATGACGTGTAATCTGCTATTTTATAAATCAGTACATAAAGTCCAATATTTATTGACATTTTGTTACTTTTTGCTGTATATAATTTACGATAAGTAATTCAAACTATATTGAAATGCTAAATTGTGCAATTTCAACCGGCGGTGAATATGAAACTATAAAGCATGCTATTGCGAAGTTGCAACATTTCTGTAATGCAATTTTTTTTGAGATGGTTATAAAGAGTCTTCTACGGATAAAAATAAATGTTTTAACAGTATGTTACATTTGTTTACTTTGATAAATTCAAAATCTATCACCATTTTATGATATCAATTATTTGGTTCTCAGATTTACGTGTCAGGGAATTAATAGCATTACACTGTATGTTTATTTAGGAAAAGTGTCCGAAACAGATTGTACGGATGGAACATGCACAGGCATTGATCATGCTGAATGTGATGAAAATACTAAATGCAAATGTTCAGATGGTTACGAAGAAGATTCTACTGATGGCAGTACTTGTGTCAAAAGTATGTTGTTTTTGTTTACTTTGATGACATCAAAATCTATCAGCATATAAAGCGTTTTATTACACCAATGATTTAGTTCTTAGGTTTACGTGTCAGAAAGGTAATAAGCTTAACATTGTATGTTTATTTAGAAAGAGTGTCAGAAACAGACTGTCCGGATGGAGATTGCACAGGCATTGGTAATGCTGAATGTGACGGTGAAAATACTAAATGCAAGTGTTCGGATGGTTATGAAGAAGATTCTGCTGATGGCAGTACTTGTTACAAAAGTATTTATGATTGGTTTTTTTAACTTTTACAAATAAAAGCATGAAAGATAAAGATAACAAACCCTAATGACTGTTCAAAATTTATATCAATTTGGTTTACTTCTGACGTTTTCCTGGTAACAATATTTGAAGACTGGTGTCTAGGGAAAAGCTTTTTTCACTTATAAAACTGAGTTTACTTTCCATATACAAAGACGTTTAGGAGCATTAGTTTGTATTAAATGCCCTACATATCGACATCGGTTTTGGTTGTTGAATGAAAATAGTTATTCTTGATTTTGTGAAAGGGGAGGGGAGTCTTTTTGACGCTTATGCATTTAATATCAAAAATTAAAACAAAAAAATGTTAAGGCAATGATCACTTGTTACTTACGTCAAAACATGAAAATAAATGTCACGGTTATTGAATTTTGAGGGAGTATGGCAAAAGGAGGTGAGATGGTTACAAAAAAAAACATAATAATAAAAACAAAATTAAAAATCAACAGAAATTTAAAAAAATTGTGATGGTTTAACATTATTGTTTCATTCGACACTTCATTTAATATTGTATGTATTTATGTATTTAGTTCATTATTTCCTTTACAAATAATCGACACTACAAATTAAATATTATTTTGTGTTTGTGCTAGTCTTTAATCATAATGAAATATTGTTCAGTCCTAGGAGGAACTTGCTCAGGTAACGATGAATGCTCAAATGTAGCAAATGCGGTTTGCACAGGTAACGAATGTACATGTGATACTGCTTACATAGAAAAGGATAACGTATGCATTCTAAGTAAGTTTACTGCGATTGTTAATGATATTGAGAAAGCTTACAACACTTACAATAAAATATGTGTGAGGCATTAGGGGTTTTAAATTCAAAATAAGAATGTTTTTGAAATGTTATGACTTTAAGGGGCTGAAAACTTGAAATTTCGTCTTCGCTGTGGAAGCAAAGTACATTATTTCGTCTGCTGCAGGTAAATCAAATGACGTTTATTCTGCTAATTTATATATCGGTACATACTTAAAGTTGGTCTTAAAATGATTATTATAAAGGTGATGATAAATTCCAGTATTTTCTGATATTATGTTACCTATTGATAATAATATAATTGAAACTATTGTATTGAAAAATATTATCGGTACCGTTGGCCTAGTGGTTAAGGCGTCCGCCTTCGGTCGGGAGGTCGAAGGTTCAAACCCCACAGGGAGCGTTAATTGAAAGATGAATGTTTCTCGTGGGACTCATTCCGAAATGGCCGATTCGTGAGCCGCGAGGTAGTTAAAATGAATGGTTACCGATTTCTATCCGCCTGGCGCCTGACATAGTGGTAGGCGTTTGGAGGTACATGACATGCAAGCAAAAGGTGTCTCTTAAGTCAGAAATGGCTGTGACCCTTTCAAAAAGGGTGACACTATAATAATCAAGACCTTTACCTGTACCTTTTTATATAATTATGCGCAATTTTGTTCAAAACAAAATCATTTTAATTTGCAAAGCAAATAGTAAACGTTTTTGATATAATTCAATAATAATATTATGTTAAATACTAGGAGCAGTGTCAGAAACGGAATGTAATAACGGCGATGAATGCAAAGACATAGAGCATGCTGAATGTGAGAAAGACCAGACATCTCCCAAATGCAAATGTTCAGATGGTTATGAAGAGGATTCTACGGATAAAAATAAATGTGTCAAGAGTATGTTGTATTTGATAACTCTGATGAACTCAATTTTAGAAATATTTTGGGAAACAAAATTAAGTCATTTCCGTACCATGATGGGCCTCAAAGTCAATTTGTTAACGTTTACTGTAAAGGGAAAAAATGAAAACAAAAATATAATTTTTTTCAAAAAGCGCTGAATTCATATGCAAAAATAATTACTCTAAATTAAAATATTTCATGGTTTTTAAGTTTTAGGTTAATTGCAAAAAGGTTGCAGTAACAACAACAAAAAATTGGATTGTAAAATTCTTAAATTAGGAAGATAAATGTCCCATGCTATCTAGAAAGGTATAAAAGCAATTGAAATCTTATACCTATTAGTGCTTATAAGGGTCTGTAATCCTTCAAGTAAATGAATGAGTGAGGAGGTACGAGGATGGTTGCGTTGTCTAAATTAGGAAAGATAATGAATAACGTATCATGTTGAAAATCACACTTAAAAACTATTGTTTTTTTAATTTTCGGAAATGACCAAAGGAATTTGAAAAAAAGAAAATAACATAATTGTGCCGTTACCATTTCGCGGTAGTATATTTTTAAATATTGTCTCTTTGCTTTATATGACTATCTTTAAAACGTTATAATAAGTTAAGTTTAATGGGAAGCAAATAATGTTAATAAAATGCAAAAATATAATTGTATTCATTCTTATTCCTTTGAAACTACATCTCATTTTTTAAGTATATAATTCGATAGTTTCTTAAAAATTACTGGAAAATGCAAATTGTACTTAATTTTGTGATTGTGCTAATCTGTTATCCTTATGAAATTATAATTCAGTTTTAGGAGGAACTTGCTCAGATAACGATGGATGCTTAAAAGTAGCAAATGCGGTTTGCACTGGTGGTAAATGTGCATGTGATACTGATTTCGGAGAAAAGGATAACGTATGCATTAGAAGTAAGTTTGTTGCGAATGTACTAATAATTAGTTTTAATATCGAGAAAGCTTATAAATTTGTTATAAATGGTGGCAAAAAAGACATCTGCAGTTCTTAATTCCCCTTTGGGACCGGACGATATAAATACTCCGTTCCCACGAAATAATTTCTCATTCCGACGTGACATACACAAAGAGGTGGAAATGTTATATGGGCGCGACTGTACGGTGGCACAAAGGTGACATGCCAACTACTTCATATCTTGGCAATATGTTAACAAGTCATTATCTGGTAAGACACGAAATAAATCAAATACGTACGCAGTTCAACACTTTGCCACCAAAGAAAATGGTTTGTCTTATAAGTTTACAATATTCGAAACTAGCGTATTATAATAAGTGATTCAAATTATAGAATGACCATGTAAGCATCTGTATGTACACGTATTTCATGATTACAATTTTCTTCAATTTTTAAGTGTGTTTCTTTTTTCTTAATTCAGGATGTAAATGGGTACTATTAAATTAGACCAATAGCATTTGTGTTGTGAACATGTGTCACAACTAAAACGAATAAACCTTTTTTCTCGTTTTTGTAGTATTTAAAGATAAAATTAGCACTGGTCGGAGTACAACATTTCATGAAAATTTTATATTGAATCTAAAGATGTTTTTGAACATATATATTTTTTGTCAAAAAAAAGTACTAAATATTGATAGAAATGGATTTTTCTTATTTAATAAAGGTGTCAGTGGTACACCATGCTTGGAAAAGAATGTGACAGTATTGATAATTCTCATTGTGACAATGACAAATGTAAATGTGACACAGGGTATGTCATGAATGTAAACGAATGTACTGCCGAAAGTGCAGGTAATAAAAAGTATAAATGATGCCATATATTTTATTTATTATAAGTATTGTTGGAGGAGAAATATGTTCTTAAGGTTATTCTATTTAACAATCATGACGGCTTTTCATTTATAACCATCTATTATAAGATAGGTACATTTCATTTACTTTTTTTACACGGAAGGATGATATGTTTGTTTTCAAATTGTTTGATTTCACGGCGCACCCTCATTATTTAGGTAAAAAAACAACAGGAAAAATGTTTTTGGGTTACCTGGGCTATAGTATATATAGCCGGTCGTCAAATGATTTAATAAAAATGATGATAAAATTAATTATTTATTGATACTATGTTTAGGCTTATAAACGTGCAATTTTGTTTTAAAAAAATCATAACGAAAGATGACAGTTTACGTTCCTTCGGTGGAACAAATGTGACATGTGTTTGTTTTTATTTATCTTGTGCGCACGAGATACTATGTCGTGGCCACGAGTTACTAAGTCGTGCCCACGAGATAGTTAAGTCGTGGGGACGAGATACTATGTCGTGGCCACGTGATACTATGCCGTGGCCAAGAACTACTAAGTCCTTGCCTAGAGACAATAAAGTGGTGTGCACGAGATATTAAATCAATCAGATTTTACTATTTATATTTTTTTAACTTAGAAAAACATTCTGTTTAAAGTTTTACATGCAACATTAATCTTTTAAAGTGTTCACTTTAAGCTTGATACATGTCTTCAGGATAATATTAGAAAGTCACCTTCTAAGGCCCATAAATCAAACATTAATTTTTAAATAGTTATAGCCCTTTGTAGGGACAATTCTATGATAGAATTGATTAGTTTGTTGATACAACGGCCTGTTAATCTTGTTTATACGATAACTTGTGAAGGAATTAGTCCTGGTTTTTTCTATTTGGTAGGGACATTGTCCATGGACAGTATATAGCCTTAAAGGATGTTTGAGGTCAACATGAACATGATACTTCATGTAAAATCAATATCTGATGGGTGATTTAGAAAGAATAAGCCATGACTTATATAAGCGAGAAAGATCATTGCACCTGATCAGTAGATGACACCTGCCATTTGGTCAAATATCAGCGTCACAATGACGCTAAATGTAATATCTCTGACCAATCAATAACTTGAATATATAGCACTTTTACAGACAGGTGTAGTAGGGGCATCATTGTACTTTAGCACATGCCTTTTTCATGAGGAAAATTCATATAAATAATGTAATCTGATTGGTTATTTATCTCTTGCGCACGAATTTACTATCTCGTGGCCACGACTTAGTAACTCGTCGCCACGACATAGTTTCTCGTTCCCGCGACTTTACTATCTCCTGGCCACGACTTAGTAACTCATGGCCACGACATAGTATCTTGTTCCCTCGACTTAATTTTCTCATGTCCACGACTGAGTTACTCGTGGCCACGACATAGTATCTCGTGGCCACGACATAGTATTTCGTTCCCATGACTTAACTATCTCGTGGCCACGACTTAGTAACTCGTGGCCATGACACAGTATCTCGCTACCACGACTTAATTATCTCGTGCCAACGACTAAGTAACTCATGGCCACATTATAGTATCTCGTAGCCACGACATAGTATCTCGTTCCCACGACTTAACAATCTCGTGACCACGACTAAGTAACTCGTGGCCACGACTTAGTAACTCGTGGCCACGACATAGTATCTCGTGCACACGACATAAATAAAAACACACACATGTCACATTTGTGTGCCACCGTACGTTCCTATTATAACATTATAACGGTAATATTTAATTTCAATCCAGGAAGCAGTGTCAGATAAAGAGTGTACAACCGGCGATGAATGCAACGGTATAGAGCATGCTGAATGTGACAAAGACGCAACATCTCCCAAATGCAAATGTTCAAATGGTTACATAGAGGATTCTATGGATAACAATAAATGTGTCAAAAGTATGTTGTATTTGTTTACTTTGATGCACTCAATTAAAAAAAAGCATTAAATCAAAGCATTTCTGAGCCATGATTGACCTTTAAGTCACTTTATTAACGTTTTCTGTATAGGTAAAAAATGTAAAGAAAAATGTTAGTCGTTTTAAAAATGCAAAAAAAAAAAATATTACTTTAGATATATCGTCGTTTTGAAAATAATGGGCAAAAACGCACAAATGCGATGTTGCATTAACAATAAATAAATAAATAAATAAATATTAATAAATAAATACACTTTGGGTGGTTATATTTTTTAATTTTTAAGATAAATGTTTCATATCTAGAAAGGTATCAAATCATTGAAATCTTATTCCTATTAGTGCCCATAAAGGTACGAAATCCTTAAGGTAAATGAATGAGTGAGCAGATATGAGGATGTGTTGTGTTGTCTAGATTAGGAAAGATAATAACAGTTTGTGCAGTTTACATTTTGCAGAAGTATATTTTTGAGTTGTATCTTTACTATTTTTGACTATTTTTAAAACGTCATAATAAGTTAAGATTAATGAGAAGCAAATAATGTAAATCAAACGAAATTATATATATTCATATCTCTTATTGTATCCTTTGAAACTACATTTTCTTTTTTAGATATTTAAGTCGTTTTTTTTTTCTTTACAATAACTGTAAAATTCAAATTGTACTTTATTTTGTGTTTGTGCTAATCTGTTATCATAATGAAATAATAATTCAGTTCTAGGAGGAACTTGCTCAGATGACGATGGATGCTCAAAAGTAGCAAATGCGGTTTGCACTGGTGGTAAATGTGCATGTGATACTGATTTCGGTGAAAAGTATAATGTATGCATTCTAAGTAAGTTGCTGCGATTGTAATAATAATGAGTTAAGAATGATAACGACTATGTTATTAATGGTGGCACAGAAATGACATATGCAGTTCCTTACTTATTTCGTGGTGGAGCGGAACGATATAATTATCTCATTTCCATGAAATAATTTCTCGTTCAAACGAAACAAATAAACAAATAAATGGACATGTTATATTGGTGCGACTGTTACGGTGGCCCTGAGGTGACATGTGAAATACTTTATTTATATCGTGGCCACACGTACACTATATATCTGGTGAACAGGGAAAAAATAAAAAAGCACACATTTTACCTCTTTGCCACCGTAGTAAATGCTATGTAATATTCAAAAATAACGTATTAATGATTCAATGTATAAAAAAGGGATTGTAAGCATCTATATGTGAAAAAATTTCATGGTTACAATTAACTTAAAAAGTTTGTTTCTTTCTTTTCTACGAATTCATAATAAATAGGTAAATAGGTACCGTATTATTAGACATATAGCATTTGTGTTGTTAACATGTGTCACGTATTAAACCAAAACGAATAAACCTTTTTTCTCATAATTAATACTGGTACTTAAAGATATAATTAGCGCTGTTTGGAGAACAATATTCAATAAAAAATACATAATGAGTCTAAAGATGTTTTAGAAAATATATTAAAATTTGCCAAATACTTACTGAATTTTTATGAAAATGTTGATTCTTTCTATCAAACAAAGCTGTTAGCGGAACAACATGCGCGGAAAACGGAGATGAATGTGACGATATTGATAACTCTCACTGTGACACTGACAAATGTAAATGTGACGCCGGTTATGTCATGAATGTTCGCGCATGTGTTGCAGAAAACGCAGGTAAATAAAAATAATAAATAACATCATATCCATATATCTTATGTATATATATCAGAACTGTAGGAGAAACATGTCCTTACAGTCGGTTTTGTAGTTTTAACAATAATGACAGTAATTCACTAATAGTCTTTTATTATAAGATAGGTTACTTTTATTTTTGCTTTGTTTACTCGAAGGGAAAATGTGTTTTGTTTGGTTTCACGGCGCACCAACACAATTTAGGTCATATGGCGCCGAGACAAGAAAAATTATATTGGATAATCTCGGGATTTACAATACCAGGGGTCAAAATTACTTCTCCTCCCTGAGCTAAGACTCCAGATATGATGATATAATGAGATAAATAGTAGCTGCAGTTATGATGTCTAAACCCTTAACGGAAACCCCATAGTGGCACAAAGGTGACATGTGTGTGTTTTGTTATTTATCCCGTACGCACGAGATACTATGTCGTGGCCACGAGTTACTTCGTCGTGGCCACGAGTTACTAAGTCGTGGCCACGAGATTGGTAAGTCGTGGCCACGAGTTACTTAGTCGTTGGCACTAGATAGTTAAGTCGTGGCCACGAGATAGCTAAGTCGTGGCCACGAGATGCTATGTCGTTGTTTATTACAATTGTCCCAACAAAGGGCTGTAGTCAAAATAAATGTCTGATGGGCCTTGGAAGATGACTTTCTAATATGATCCTAAAGACAAGTTCAAAGTGAATATCTTCAGTATTTCAGAGACATTGGTGTTATCTATGTCTCTGAGTATTTTAGAAGATTAATGTTGCATGTAAAAGTAAGTTGTTAAGTTTAAAAAATTCATATTATATATAGTGTATTCTGATTGGTTAATTATCTCGTGCATACGACTTAGTTATCTCGTTCCCACGACTTAGTAACTCGTGGCCACGACATAGTAACTCGTGGCCACGACATAGTATCTCGTGGCCACGACTTACCAATCTCGTGGGCACGACTTAGTAACTCGTGGCCACAACATAGTATCTCGTGGCCACAACTTAGCTATTTCGTGGCAACGGCTTAGTAACTCGTGGCCACGACATAGTATCTCGTGCGCACGAGATAAATACAAACACATGTCACCTTTCTGCCACCGTAGTTTAACATTTTCCAGTTTACAATTAAAAAGACATTAAAGGTGCGAGAGATAAAGTGTAAGCATACATCAAAGAACATAATAATTTTGTATATCAATATGATAATATTTTGTTATTTAACATTCAAATGTGCAATTTATACATTTCAACGAATTATGTACAAAGTTTTAAGATAAAAAGGAACTTGTATATAAATTTCGTTTCAGCTGCATCCATACAGTTAGGGACTCTTACGGTTCTTCTGTGTGCTTTGGCAACTCTTATACAGCAATTCTGGTAAATACAACAATCTACACTTTTATAAAGTCTCTCGAAATATAGGTCGCATCAATGTTGAAGTTTTTACCTGATTTATAAGCTTTTAGAAAAATCACTTTTTCCATAAGTTCTAGTCGTACGTAGGTGTCGTACGTCTATCCTATACGCACTGTTGAGGATAGCCGTACTGCATATTTTCAATAGCACACAAATGCAATGCTTATTAGTCCCCTACCGGTTTACCGGAGGGAACTTTAGGTTTACCCTCCGTCCGTCCGTCTGTTCGTCCGTCTGTCCGTCCGTCAGTCCACAAAACTTGATCCCGCGATAACGCAAAAAGTACTGAAAATATTTTTTATGAAACTTGATATATGGATAGATGGCAGTATGGAGATTATGCACGTCTTTTTCTTTTTTTCCTATGCTGAAAATTCTGGTTGCTATGGCAACAAATATACTGAAAATATGGCAAATTTTACACATAACCCGGATCCAGTGATAATGCAAAAAGTACTGAAAATACTTTTATGAAACTTGACATATGAGTAGATGGCAGTCTGGAAATTATGCACATCCTTTTCTTATCTTCCTTTGTTGAAAATTCTGGTTGCTATGGCAACAAATAGACTGAATTTCAAGATTTCTGATTCTAGTTTTTAAGTTTTTTCACTATAAGTTCTTTATTTCTTAAGGTATTTTCTTCAAACTTTAAATATAAGTTGCTAGTCATCAACCACATCATTTGTGACAAGGTTTACAACTCTAGCACGAAATTTATCAGAATTACCTCCCTTGAACTTAAAATTTTCATGAAAAAAATATTGTTTTTTTTAATAACTTCTTTTTTTCTGAATGTATCTACTTCAAACTTTATATACATGTTTCTTATTATCACTCAACATTTGTGAGAAAGGTCAATACTTTAGCAAGACTTTTTCCAGAATTATGTCCCTTTTGAACTTTTTTTCGAGAAATTGGTAATTTTTACTCCAAATTCTTCAATCATTATAGGATTTTCTTCAAACTCCTTCAGTGTCCTTCAGTCCGTCTGTCTGTCTGTTCATAAAAACTGTTTACTGTGATCACTTTTAAAGAACTTCTTCAACAAATTTACTTAAAATAGAAACATAAGTGAATGGTCAATGGCCCATAAGAATGTTGTTGGGGTTCTAACCGGTAGGGGACTTATGGATTGCTTGCAATACTATGATAATTGCTTGCTATTGTAAGTTGGGTTTTTTCAAATTCGTTTATACTTATTTGTTCTTGATTAACTTTAAATAAATGGCATACGTAAATGGATGTTTCTAAATTCAAAATTTCACCATTTTCATGTTAAATGTTGAATCCTGCTTAAGCCGGTGCTGGGGGGGGGGGGCTGGACGGTAACTTGCACTTTCCAGTACCGTCCATGAACAGGCTCAATCAAACCGAGCCTGCAACATTTTAAATTTTGTTGTATTGGACTTTCTTTAGGGATTCTGTTTTTCACTATTTTGTTAAAGTTTATAAAACCTTATGTCTGCCGCCTGTACTTTAAATCATTTGTTAAAAAGAATATTTACATTATAACTGTTACAGTATGAAATAAGTATATTTGAATTTGATCCTTAAGAAGGAATGGCACATGAAAGAATAATTGCTAAATTGTTAATGGTTACCTTCTTTTAATAGCAGCACAGGACATTTTATCTGTTTACATACAATACGCATGCTTGCTAATAAGAATGAGCATTAGAATCAGCAATGGAATATGAAAACAACATAATTTTACTGTTTATTTATTTGATAATAATATGTTACAATATATCACTGAATATCGTTTTAAATTAATCAATGACTGATTTTTATTGGTATTTGATGCAACAAGTTGAAGGATATGTAATCATCTATTTCAGATTTGGACGCAAAAGGAAAGCTTCTATTGTGTGTGTGTGATGGACATTTAATTTATACCTTCTTCACTGCTCTTTTTTACATCACAATCAATGAATTTTATATACTCTCATTTATCAAATCAAATGTAGAATTGACATTTAAAGAAAAAATCGCTTTATTTCAATAGAAATAAAAAATGAATAAACATTAATCAAGAAAGGGAACTACATGTACTGTATTCTACACAGTCATAATACGTTTGTTTCCATCATTTTTTTTCACAATCTGTATCTATTTCCTTTAATGTTTACCTTTTTCCTTTAAAATTTGTTTTATGTTTGTGTGTAAAGAGTTTTTCAAAAATTACAAAAGTCAACTGTTTAGTTCTTGCATGAGAAATGTTATTGTATGTATGAAATCATTTTGCTTGTAAATTTTGAGACATTGCATTTATGGTACGCCAAATATGTGTTTTAATCTTTAAGCATAATGGGCAATTAATCGGTGAAAATAGTGTCAAATATTCGAAGACAGACTTAGTGCAATTGGAAAAAAGAATGGAATATAAATTGCAGGAATTAGCATGAAATTAAAAGTAAATAGTGTATATAAACATCATTCAATACATCTCAGCATTTTGAGTATCAATAAATGCATAAAAAAGGATATAACTCATATTTGATTAACATTAAATGAACAGTGTTTTGGTGCTTACTTGGTTTACTGTTGCTTTTTTTTTCGTTTTTATGGGTTTTTCTGTTGTTTTTTTTGGTTTTTTCCTTTCTTTTTTTTAATGTGAACATCTTTAAAATTAATTACTTATTGTTGACAAGACACTATTTCCGACGAACGCCATGTGATTACGTACAAACTCTTTTTCATGCAAGAATATTTAATTTAGTTATTCCTTAACAAAGAAGAGAAAAAAAAGGATACATCATAACTTGCTGTCAATGAAGTTAAGTTGAACATCATAGACAATTCCTTTCTATAGAACTAAGAGAAATCGTGATTATTTTACTAAATATAGATTTATAAAGAATATTTATTTTGATATGAATATTGCTCAAATCTTGTCTACTGAATAAACAGTTGTAATAAATTGAATGTTTATGTTCTTGCTTGAATGCTTAATAGTTGTGCGGTTCTACTGTAGTTGATTAAATGTTAATGTAATAAACGTTTAAGGCTTTTCTAAGAAAGTTCGAAAAAAAACAGCGTTGTACGAGTATCTATTTAGTGGCAAAACTCCATAGATTCTAATCACATAGCGCTGGATAAAAGATATGCAGAATAGATATGTGTTTGAATTTGTACATAGAAAAATAATAGGGTGTGTCTATCAGAGCTAATTGTTTATTTTTTTTAAAGATTTACATGAAAAACTGACATAGAATATAAGACTTAAAGTGATTGTTCCATAGACGTCAAGGAAGGTCTGCAATCATGGCAATACCATAAATAATTACGATGAAAACATTAAGTATCATACATAAAAACAAAACATGAACGCATTAAACATTTATTATGAATGTTCTTGGTAAGTGTAAGATAAATGATCCGATATAACATATCTATATATAGGAGATTTGTTCTAAAACAAAATATTATTGTTCATGATATATAAGTCCATACTAATGTTTTTTCAAAAAAAAAACTGTTTAATATGGTACATTTCTGTTGTTGATCAATTTCTGAAATACTTTTTGAAAAGTTGCCCATTGTAGACCGATTCACTTTAATAAATATAAGTTTATTTTGCATTTTAAACTTGCTTTAGCAGTAACCGGAATAAAGTTACTGTCATACATATTAACATAACGTTTACCGACCTAAGTACATGTAATATCCATCTAATAAACCATAGCTGTACCGGTATTCACAAGTTAGTGTTTTAACTGATTCGATTAGCTTTTAAAAATGGTAAAATCAGTCTTACAGAATTAAAGCAATAATTGAAATAATCAAAAAGATAAAATAACTAAAAGTATTTTTACAACTTTTACAATTGTTTCCATAACGTAGATAAGTTAACTCCCCCAAGATCATTGCAAAATGTTTGCAAAATTACAAAGTAAAATATAGAGAAAAGAAACGAACAAAGACATTTCGAATAGCTTAATTTATTGCAAGAGACTTTATGCCGAATATAAGGTAAATAATAATAAGCTTCATTTCCATGTTAACCTAACAATTAAAACATATATGAGGACAAAAATAATAACTGTAGTCATTTGTCACAATACCCCGCAGTTTCATTGTATTACGGCGCCCAACATGAAATGATACTGAATGTTTCTCTGATAGGTAAGGAATTTTGTATACTTTTTTATTTTTTATCATTATTATTTGATTTCCTTTCAAATATAGGCATGTAGTCTATAGCCGGGCAAGCCAAAGCCCGGGACAGCTTTGCCTTGCAATTCTGTTCAGGGAAAAAAGTAATATGTGGTGGGAAATTCTCAATAAAATGATAAGCGGAATGAATATGAAACGTTAGCATCCACAAACCTTCTTTACGAAATTCCAGAGCAATTTTGATATCAACATATTTAAAATAAGTCTCCGATTGCCGTTAGAACAAACAGAAACAGTTAAAGGATTTACAATAAATATTCTTCTTTAACAATTCTCGAATAGCTTGTATAGCGAAACCTTCGCAGACAATTGGACAACCGGCATAATACGGGTTTAGAGAAAAAAGTAATTTTATAACTAACAAAATTATTTGTATTAATCGTTTTTCTGAAAATTGTATTTCTTTTTGATTCGAAATAGTCATGTGTTGATAACTTTAAGAGTCATTACTGTATCCGAATGTATACTTCCTCATTGTCTTGACGTTGGTTGCTGACCTGCGTGTTGTCAGTGGGTTTGAGCGTTGGAAGTGGTCGAAAGAGTCGCACATGAAATATTGATATGGGCTGAACAATGTTTTGTCTGGTTAATTATTTTTGTGGCATTTTATGTAAGAGCGTCAATGTTTTTGTCAAATTTGATTTCCCTTTCCGTTGAGTATCAACTTGTATGTTATGTTTTAGGTAGACACATGTTGTACATTATATGTTGTCTCAATTAAGTTGTTTGTCCTGATATGTTATATTTATGTTCAAGTTTATGATTGATTGCTATGCTATGTTTTTCTCGTGTTTTATGTTCTGTGCTGTTTCGTTTCATAATGTTTGTTCTGTTAGTCTCTAATTATATTACTTATTAATTTTCAGTCGTATTTTTTGTTCTGTTTTTGTTTAGTTTCGCATTGTTTTACATGTTTCATGACCTTTGTGCTGTCACATATCCTCTTTTGTTCCGTACTGTGATTATAATGTCTTGTTCTGTATGTTCTGATGTTGTTTTTCCTGTGTTTTTTTTTTTATTTTATATATGTCCAGTTCCGTTTTGTTATATTTATTAGTCAATTGGTGTATGTATTGTTCTATGTGTTAAGTTGTTAGGTGTCATGTTATTTGTCGTGTTCTGTTCTTTTTTGTCTCTTCTGTTCCATGTTGTATGTCCTGTTCTGTTTTGTCTTATTTTCTCTGTTCTGTTAAATGTTGTTTGTTCTATTTTGTTTCATGTTTCATGTTTTATGTTCTGTTCAGTCTCATATTGTCTGTCCTGTCCTATCCTGTCATATAGTGAATGTCCTGTTCTGTTTTGTCTTATGTTGTCTGTACTGCTCTGTTAAGTCTCTATTTTCTATCCTGTGTTTTGTGCTGTTATGTTTTCCTCTTTTATATCATTTTGTTTGTTCTGTTTTGTTTAATATTGTTTGTCCTGTTTTGTCTGTTCTGTTTCGTCTCATGTTGTCTTTCTGTTTTGTCTCATTTTCTCTGTTCTTTTTTGTTTCATGTTGTCTGTCCTGTTTTGTCTCATGTTGTCTGTCCTGTTTTTGTCTAATGTTGTCTGTTCTGTTTCGTCACATGTTGTCTGTCCTGTTTTGTTTCATGTTGTCTGTTCTGTTTCGTCTCATGTTCATGTTGTATGTCCTGTTTCGTCTCATGTTGTATGTCCTGTTTTGTCTCATGTTGTCTGTTCTGTTTCGTCACATGTTGTCTGTCCTGTTTTGTTTCATGTATGTTATTCTGATTTGTCTCATGTTGTATGTCCTGTTTTGTATCATGTTGTATGTCCTGTTTTGTCTGATGTTGTCCTGTTTTGTCTATTGTTGTATGTCCTGTTTTGTCTAATGTTGTCCTGTTTCGTCTCATGTTGTATGTCCTGTTTCGTCTCATGTTGTATGTCCTGTTTTGTCTCATATTGTATGTCCTGTTTCGTCTCATGTTGTATGTCCTGTTTTGTCTCATATTGTATGTTCTGTGCTGTAAAGTGTCATGTTCTTTGTTCTGTTTCGTCTCATGTTGTATGTTCTGTTTCGTCTCATGTTGTATGTTCTGTTTCGTCTCATGTTCTATGATCTGTTTCGTCTCATGTTGTATGTACTGTTTTGTCTCATGTTGTATATCTTGTTTTGTCTCATGTTGTACGTTCTGTTTTGTCTCATGTTGTATATCCTGTTTTGTCTCATGTTGTTTGTCATGTTTTGTCTCATGTTGTCTGTTCTGTTTTGTCTCATGTTGTATGTCCTGTTTTGTCTCATGTTGTCTGTTCTGTAAAGTGTTTAGTTGTAAGTTATGTTGTAGTTAGTTTTATTGTGTATGTTATGTTTTAAATTGATGATTTTATTAGTAGAGTAGCGGGGGATCGAACTAGCGACCCCTTGATCTGTAGGCAAACAGTGTAACCACTGCACCACAGCGCCCGCTCTGATTAATAACCGTTTTTGAAAGTCCTTTATACATTATCACTTCAATAGCCAACAAAAAGGTTATTCAATTTATTTTTAACACCTTTATCAAAATGGCCAACCCACGTGATATTTTAATATTGAGTTTAAAAATAGAACAGAGATTATCACTCTATTTAGATTTTTATTTTATCACCTTTCTGTAACTTGGTGAATATTCGTGATATATTGCTCAAGGCGCCAGAATTTCTCAGCATTTTTTAGGTTGTGTACAAATCGTTGTAATGTGTTTTTATGTAGGATTTTTTTTAAAGAGAAGGTAAAATTTTGAAAGTTTTAAGAGCTGCTATGGTATGGTACACACGCATACCAAACTTTCAGACATTTGAAACAAATTACGCAGTATTTTGGGTCATAATGCATAAATGAAATATTACATGAAACCGTTATGTTTTTAAGTCCATAAGAAACTTTTTTTGATTTCGATGATTTAAACGACTCCAAATCGTAAATATTGCAATTTGATCAAAGTGCTTTATTAACACTATATACACTTATTTTCAATTTCCGCTGAAAATTTTGTTTAACGAAGGTCCTGCAACCGAGCTTGGATTTAAGCTTAGGAAACGACATTGTAAATCGCCTAAAATATAAATGCTTGCATGACACGGAACATCTTCATAATACTGGAATTTTTACTGCCTAACGAGATTTAAAAAAATAATATAAATTGACCCTTAGGCTAATTTCAAAGATATTTAGTCTTTTTCATATTCATAAATAGCGTGTGACAGACTATAGCAAGTTAATATCCAACTTCTTAATTTTATAATAAAACAGAAAGGTATAAACAGTGGCTGAAATTAAAGGTCGTGTGTGTTTGGTCTGGTCAGACAACATACCTTCTCCAGCATTGTTCATATATCAATACACGTATTATAATTGAAAAGTTATATTATGGTTAGTGTCATCCCTAAAAATTTCATATTAGAAATTTAATCGATTTATCATAACAACTGTATGATACATACTCAGATTTTTAAAATGATACACAGTCTTATCGTATAGATCACATAAATATTATATGACTTCAATAATTCTAAGTCTCTAAAGTTATAGATGTCTATTTAACATACAAACACATATTGTGTTCTTTGAAGACATAAAACCGCAAGTATTAAAAACACATTTAGTGTAGAAATGTAACTGTAATTTAGGATGGACAAGCCAAAATGAAATGTATCTGAAAGTTAAGGTATAATAGCTAAACCTTTCTGAGAAAGCCTTTATACTATTCTAATAAATGCTATTTCTTAACAAAAAATATGCATATTACTTTGTAACAAATACAAATACATGTATAATTCTGATGCTTAATTGCCTAATTTTGCTTAAACTGTTCTTCTGTAAACTATTCATCAGAGTTATGCAATTATAACAACTGAATTCTATAGACGAATTCAAATTTAGTAAACAGTGTGACACAATGGATGTAAAACTACTTTACCTTGAATCTGCTAAATTGACCTTAAAGACACATTATGGCTAAGAAATCTAAATTTTCTCTCAGAATCAAGCATGTGTTTGAATAATGAATTTAAGATACGTTAGATGTTAACCAAGAGAAGAAAGAAGCACTGAACGTGCATGCAGTAATATGTCATAAATGTAGCAAAATGTAGCAAATTATTATTCTGACGTCAATACAAAGTACTAATTCACTATAATATACCGATTGCCAACAACACTATAGTTGCAGTTATCCCATGTATATGGCAAAATGAGCACAGCTTTGAAAACTATAACAAGATACCAAGAACGAAAAGTCTTTAGGACATAAAATTGGTAGCATTTCTGAGGCAAGGCATAATGGGCCTATAATCCAGATTTAACTTTTTATTTTGCTTTCAACATGGCATGTAGAACATAGACTCAAATCCCGCTCTTATAAAATAATATAATATATTGATAGAATAAAAAGCTATATGCAGCAGACGAAATAAGTAAGTCAGGTATTTTTTATCTAATGATTTTTCTTTCATATACCACACATGGTCAGCATATTAGCTTTACTCTCACAAAAGCATGAGAAATTATGTTCAAGTGAAACAGTGTCACCTTATTTGACATTTCTTTGAAAAGGGGGAAGACGGACGCTCCAAGGAATTATTTACGTTTTCTTTTTTATGATATCACTTTTAACTTGTCATGTTAAATGAATGAAATAACGAATTTTAATATATTTAATAGCCGCGGTTAAAATGTTTCTTAATGTACCTGTGTAATTCAATATAACGTCATTTCTGAAAAAACAACAAGTTATTAAAACAAGTTCGTGACTAATTTAACAACAAATATATTATGTACGCTACAATGGAAATTTTGATTAAGATATTTAAATAATAATAATACTTATAATAATAATACTAAACGAGAATGCAACAGAGAAAGCAACAATTATATTTGCAAAGTAATTAGATAGACATCTGCGTCTTAAGTCTTGAAATAATGAAACATTTAGATAGAACGTCTGTATTCGTTTAGTTACAGTAAGGGATACAAAATTGAAGTAGACAATAAGTTGTGAAACCTATGCATGCGCATTGTGAAGAGGAAAACTATGTTGTGCTTTGACTTCCACAAAGATAACATTAACAATAGCCCATCGAAAACAAAATAAATGATTTCAAATTACATGTATTATTATTCACTTTTCGTTTGTATTATTATTAAAATTTAATCAATGTATCGTGAAAGTTACAAAAATACTAACAGAAACCAGATAATACAGGTACCAACTTTAAAGTAAATATCGAAACTACAAAATTAAACTATCAATTCTTTAACTTCCATTTAACTTTCTTTTAAATGGAGAGGAAATAGAAAACAAATTTCGTACACCTATTGAAGCAATTCAAAATTGTATGTTAAGGAGTGAAAGAAAAAGTGTTGTTTGCAATGATAAACAACAGAAAAAATTCGAATTATTCTTTAAGAAAATATGACATCCTATTCCAAAGAACAACACACGATTTTAACTTCACGAATGCACGATTCTAACTTCACGAATGTTTTGTGATTGGTATTGTTACTGTGTGTATACCACACTTGCAAAAAATTATATATGTATATAATTATGCAAATAAACAATTTTCAAACATCGAAGAATATGTAAAATGGGTACTGCAAATATTTGTGCACATTATATTTAATCAATAAATTACATGCATTCATTTCTTATTGGAAAATTTGACTTAGAATTTATAGAAAATAAATTTCTAATTGCCTCCCTTATTTACATGAACTGTTAAATTTGGTAATTTCTTTATGAATAATGCTTATTGGAACTTACAATATTGACAAATCTTAATTTGAGCATAATATTTTGAAATAAAACCATAAAATTGTGTTACAGAATCTTTAACGATTTCAATTCACGAATTAACAATTTCAGCTTCACATATTTAACCTCGCAAATTCACAAATTACATGTTCACAGTTTTAAGTTAACAAATTCACGATTTCAAATTTATGAATTCATGTTTGCACTTTGAGATTTCAACTTCATCAAATTCTCACTTTTTGCTTATCATTTTGAAATATCATAAGTTAAATGGACGACATTTACAATCCACGTACATTACCAAACGTCAAAATATGCAAAATAAGCTAAAATGCGTTAGTCACGGAGTAGGAAAATGATGATTATTACAGTAAAATCAGTCGTTAATCAAACATAAAAAGGTAATTATAGTAAATCTTCAAAACAATTTCTTTAGTTGGAGTTTCTTGAAATATTCTGGCTCATCATTAGGCATGCAGCTTTATTTAAAATATTGCTATTACATGTAGATGGTTAGACAGAAGTATGTATTCAGTTATACATCATGTATACATGTTCGCTGAAATTAATCATTTCAAAATGATGAGTATAATTTTTATTAAATGTTTTTGTCGTGTTTACGGACATATTAAATGTTGATGACATTGCACAAAGTCGTTTAAACCTTAACTTCAAGAGGCTTTTTAAGAATAATTGGTAGAACTATCAAATTTATAATGTAATTAAAAACACATTTTACATGTAACTTAAATTCTGGAAAAAGGGTTATATCTCGGAAGCATTAATCCAAACAAATTTTCATGGAAATTGCAGACACGGTGCAGAATCTGCAATGTACACGAGCGGTAGTGAAAGCATCCTACATACCTGAAGCCCCCACACCCTAGCAACAACTTGAACGGTACTCAATTTTCAACACTTTAATGTGCTGGTATCAATGAACCTTAAGTGATAATAATAATCATATATTGTATCTTTGTTTTTTGTCTTGTTCCTGATGTTTTTGTCGTTGTTTTTTTCTTTCTTGTTTTTGTTGTTTGTTTGGGTTTTTTTTTTTTGTTGTTGTTTTTATTTTTATTTTATTGATTTTTTGTTTTTGTTTTTTAATTAATAAATGTCCTTAGGAATTATTGATTTAAATAATATTTATGGTGATGATGATTGTATACTGTTGATGTCGGTGTTATCGGGTATGATAGGCATTGCATCTTCCTTCTTTACCCATCAACATCGAGCCTACTTATTTTTAAAGGGACTCAGCTACTGCATTTTCTTGTGATGTCGAAGCTGGAAATAAACGCTTTTCACTCAAAAAGGGTTAAAATAGCAAACGATACGACTTTCAACATGTTTTTAGCACATGATATATTTTCTCTTGCTCCACATCTTTCTGTTTTAAGTGTTTTTCTGATATTTGTATGGAATTAAAATTTTATAATTCTGGGCATTGAACATCGGTGGAGTTTCTTTAACACTACCGATCTCAGTAAACGCAGTGGGTTTGAGTTCTTCCATATCACGCCCGCGTATTTCCTAATTGCTCTGAAGCCTCACAATTATGTTAGCATTTTCTTTTGTTTCCCCTAATTTTTCAAAATTACACCAGAAATTTTAGTACTTTTCGAGTTATTCATACAAAAGCACTAAATTGCAACAAAATGTTTATGAGGATGAGTTGATATTCATCAATTGTTCCGTTTTCAACATTTCGAGCGGGAATAGCAAGACAAGGGGCATAATTCTGACAGCTATATTTTTGGAGTTTTGTCCTTTTTAATTTTAGGTACAACAATTGCCCTCGACAGATCAGCCTTGTACCGTATGCGGGGTTCTTATGTTTAGGTGTTGCGGGCTCGCCCAATTCTCAAGTACGAATAGTGCCGGCAAAAACAGTGAACTATACGAACACGCCCTTTTTATACATGTTTAAGTAGCACACTTATTCCACACTTTCATCATATACTACCACATTTATTTCAGTAGCCGTGAACTACTCAATATAGTCCACGCTGACTATAAAAATAAGGCAAAACCTAATTGGACGAGAAAAAAATACCATGTGCTAAATATCCAAACATATACTTTAGATAAGACATGTTTAAATGCAAAACAGCCTAACCTAAAAAACAATTATGAATACAATTAATACTCGTAAGAATATAGGTAAACGTTTATAAATACGTAGCCGCGCGTCCAATTTAATTTTGTAATTACGTACGAATAAATTTTAACCACCTTAGTGTTTTAAATTATTTTTTATAAAAACTCGATTTACTAGACTGATAAACAGTTTGCCGATTAACTAAAGTAAATGTGTTAAGATTCATTTGAAATACTGCAATCTTATTGGACAAAAATAATTGCAATCACTAAAGTATTTTTTAGACCGTATTCGATTTTCATGATCATTCATTCATCCACATAAAGTCTGAGTGCACTTAGCTTAAATAAGTCATTTCAGTTATCAACCCGTCACGGGCGTTTGATAATTTATTGATGCAGAAATAGTATTACATATCAGTATATGAATCCAGAAAATGGATTTATTTAATATATTTTTGTACGTGACAC